AGGACAATGTCCAATTTAAGTGTGGGGGTGTATTGTGTGGCGTGAATTTCATAATTGTATTACCTGTGTTCTATGAAAAAGAATTGTGATTTAAAAAAAAAAACTAAAAAAGGATTTTTTTTATTTTTTTGTGTTTTTAATAGTGGGTATCTTTGGTTTTGATTTGAATTTCGTGATAATTACTATTGATACATGAATATTATAATATGGACATAAAGCAACCTATTATGATGACTGAGGGGTTAAAATGAATCTGTCTCGTGTCACTCTTCCTTAGATGGCAAAAAAAAAAAAAAAAAAAAAACATTGTATGAAATCTTGAATTGGTCGATTGTCATCTTTGATTGTCTTTGCATAGTCATTGGAAAGCATAGCATGAGAAACCGAGCATTTAGGAAACGAAGTGAGATTTGAGCCTGATCGTTTCTTTCTTGTGTGTTTAGATCCCTCTCTGCATGATAAATATGCTTGATAATTGCAAAAATTTGAGTCGTGAAGCCACTGATGAGGATGATGGAGGCATAGGTTTACCCCACTGCCCAAATGACTACCCGAAACTGCATATCCCCTAGTCAAACCCCGTTGAGACGAGCCTATTTGTTCGGTGACAACCTGTTTTAAACCAATCCTTGTTCTTCAAGCCGTATTAATTTGAACCCTTCTTTTCAAGGTTCCATCAGAATGGTTTAAACAAATGACTTTCTGCTTATTACATAAAAAAATGACTTTGGAAATTGGGAGAAATTGTTTCTAAAAGTGTTGTTCTTGAAAATAAATTTTGGCCACTCTATAAGAAAAAATGAAACATACACATATGCACGATAATAAATAAAAAGGAGTTGGCCATCAATTTCGTGCACTTACAAAAAGGAGTTGTTCTTCAAAAGCCAAATTCGGCTACTTTCAAACTCCAAAATATCTCAAAATGCTTTCTCCCATTCCAATCATCCTAATAAAGAAGCAGCAAGGTCATGGTTTTGGTATGAAAATGTGGAACCTTGAACTTACCACCAGATTAAATGAACTTTCACATTTCCATGCCCTCATCCACAATGTTACCCATTCTAAAGACCTCCGGACAAGTCAGTGGTAACACAAAATTTGAATACTCGAATGACATGTTCATGGCAGAGAGATGGTAGGGAGAGTGTATTTAAAATGTATGTAAAAGTTATCTCTACTTTTTCATACATTTATAACCTGACCCCACTGGTCGAGTGCAAGAGACTTTCAATCATCTCTAAAAATTCCAAGTGAGATCCTACGTGCTCTATCTCTCATGCTATGCTTGGTGATTCCTATGTTTGAACAGTTGAAAATGATGAGAACTAATCCGTATTTCATGCAGTTCTTGCATCTAAGTTAGAGTTTCCCATGCCACAGGAGTGTTATGATCAAATGTCGTCTGTGATGGTTGCCAACATCCATATTATAATATTTTGTGTGTCGGTTTTGATTGTTACTTGTGATTCACCTGATTTTCCACCATGTGTGTTTATGAGTTCTGAATAACATGAAACAGGTTTTACGATTGAACTCGGGATTTATGTGCTTTACTTGAGGACAAGCAAAGACTCAAGTGTGGGGGAATTTGATACGCCTAGAAATACACATATTTATTCTCACATTTAAGTATCCAACTAGCTTGTAAAACAAAATAAGTTCAGTTGTTTTCCAGTTTTACGCTTGGTTTTGTGTGTTTTGATGTTTCAGGATATTCAGAGACATGTAGGAGAGAAAATGGTCAACTCGTCTCAAATCAGCATTGAAAATGAGAAATGACTGATCGAAGTTGTAAAAGAATGAAGTACGTATGCATGGTATTGAGTGTGGGCACGAAAGCAAGTTGACCTTTTGAGTTGTTTGTACCCGAGAAAGCAAGCTGCTCAAGATAAGCAAGTATCCGCCACAAATGAAAGAATGCAAGCAAGCAACTTAATTTAATGGACAAGCAAGCAAGTAATTTTGTCCATGGAATGGTAACGCTCGAGAAGCAAGTAGCTGAATTAAAAGGAAGCTAGCAGCTGGAAGACGTGGCACGTCTTCTCCACAAGCATGCAGCTCAAGCAGGCTGGTCCAAATTGGAAAAGCAAGCTGGTCCATTATTGTAAGCTAGCAGCTCAATTATACGGGACTTCCAAGCAAGCAGGGTGCTGAAGCTAGCAGCTCTCCTTGTGGCCATTAATTTGCTGCGGTGAGGTGGGAAAATGGAAGCTAGCTGGTGAATTTGTAGGCCACGTCTCCTCCTCAAGCAACTAGCTCAAGCAAGCAGCTGTTAGGTGCAGCAATTTAAGACAACCAACTGTTCATTTATTTGAACTAGCTAGCTTGCTCTATAAATAGCAACGTACAGAGGCAAAATAGGGAGGGGTTTGGGACGATAGAATCCTTTCTCTTCTTGTTGTTTCCATTCCATTTCTTCCTTGTCGAAACTCTGCCAAATCTTCGTGGTAATAATTGTGTTTTAATCCAAAGTCATATGCTTCATACGATAACGGTTCTCATCCTTGAGATTAGCGGTAATACGTTACATTAGTAAATTACCATAAGAAGTTTATTTAACTTCAAGGTGATTTATTGGTATAACGTACTTACTCTATTCTCGTTTCTTCCACTTGGTTTACATTAAGGTTTTGATTATATTTATACTCTTATGCATTTAATTTTCATGCTATTATTATCGTGGGTTAAATAGGGACGGTCTACCGCCTTAATCCCATTTTTACATTTTAAGTGGGGAATTGGTTTATACGATTAACTAGCTCACTTGAGTTAGTTAATTCCTTCCGTATCCCTATATTTATATTTTCGGAGCGGGGTTTTGGTTTATACGATTAGTTAGCTCACTTGAGTTAGCTAAGTCCTTCCGCCCTTTCGTCCAATTTGTGCTATATTTATATTTATGTTTATTTGTGGAAGTGGGGTTAGGTTTATACGATTGGTTATCTCACTTGAGTTAACTATATCTTTCCGCCCTCCATCCGTTTTAATGATGAACTAAAAAAACACGTTGTTTGGAATAGTGGAACCCTCAATGAAATTAAAGACCCCAACTCTTTTAACACAATTTGACTAACGGATTTATGGCAAATTAACATATTTTGCGTTTGTCTATCTTGTTCCCGGATGAGAAGAGAAATCTTCCATTTAGGAAATTGTTGGAAGACAGAGTCATCTAGAAACAGCGCTCCGATTCCTTGATCACCAAATACAAGAACCATTCAGGTAAAATTCATGAGAAATCGGGATTAATTTGTGTGGCCCATCTTGAGTGTAATTTGGGTCTTCATCTATCAACTTTCAATTATTTAATATGACGTGAAAACCGAGATTAGTAATTGGAAGCTGAACGAATTTATTGATAAGAAATTGCATGAATTCAATTTTAGAAATTATAATGGGATGAAATTTGTATTAAAACTTGTTAATTAAATTGAGTTTATTCGGGATGAAACATCGAGGGGGAAACTAATCCAAACAACTTTTCCAAATCATTGTCTTAATTAAATCATTTAATTCGTTTTACATTGGAATATCAATACTTGAGTAAGCAATAGAAAAGACCCTAGGGAAATACGACTCCAGTCAGTTTTACTTTCTGGATTATTTTTGTATGCGCTTTTAGCGACATCACCCATCACCCCACACATTTTATCGGCCCAAGCCCACTAAAGGAAGCCCAAGACTCCTATAAAAGGAGACTCATGCCTCCAAACCAAAGGATCATCTCCTTCTCTTACTCATTTTCACCCTAAGGTCACTCTCTACTTCATCTCTCTACATATCACACACTCTCTCCTATATCGTACTAACTTGAGCGTCGGAGCGTAGATCCCGGGGCCACCTCCCGCCTCACATGTTCTTCCACTCCCGAGGAGATCAAACGAGGGAGTCCAGATCAGAACTCGTAATTATTATATTAGCACTGGGTACATTCTAGGGTGAAACAGCTACTATGTGTAAATTCTTTTAGTTAATTTAATCTAGGTTCTTATAAAAGAAACCTTCAATTTCGTTTAGTTTTGGTGTACTTTTGATAATTTTAAGGAGGGTACTTTCATCATTTGATATTAGTGGGTCTTATGGATAATAGAGTAGAGTTTATATGACATAAGCATAACTACTGGTTTGTTCAAACAAATAAAGTTTAAAAAAGTAATTATATAAAAGAAACTGGATTATGATGGCCCACGAAGTGCTGATATTCTCATTTTTTTTTTACCGTAGCATATGTTTCCCCAATAAAACAAGCAAGAGATTGAGTCAAGAACATTAACTTTGGAGTGAAATTGAGAAACAACCATCTAGTGGCCGAAACTCTCTCAGCATGTAACCTATTCGGAGGCTTCCTAGGATACCTAGTGAAAAAAGGTGCACAAAAGTGTGAAAATTTCAGATCTTGTCCGGTAGCGGATTAGGAATGGGGGTGGCCACTCGGGGCACGACTCAACCTTATTCTGAATTCGAAGCTGGTATAGTGTTATGAATTTTTTGAATATAGTCATTCAGCCGATGTTATGTTATAATAAGATTGTGTGTAACTAGAAAAATGGTTTAGTGGAACATATTTAAATTATTATTCTAAATTTAGCCTATGTATTTTAGCCCTAAATTTTTTTAAGAAAACAATAAAACCTAAAATTCTAAAAATCTTAAGTGCAAAGTATATCACAGAAGTATATACAAATATACTTAAGTTATATTAACGTATAATTATGTTATACTTAAATATAGTTAAGTTATACTTGCATATATAACAATTTGTGGATCTTGCACTCTATGGAAAGATCCAAAGTTATACTTGCATACATAAAAATTTTCCCCTTCTCTTTATTGCAGTAAGTATACTCGTTGAACCCCAATTTTTCTCCAAAAAGGTTCTGGTTTGAACCATTTGCATGTCATCATTGACATTCCTTCTTTAACCAATACTTCTATATTTGCAGTCCCCAACTTCTGTTGGCAACGCATTAGGGATCCTCCAACTTGTGTTGTACTGCATGTACAGAAAAAGAGGAATCCCAGAAGTGCCTAACAAATTAGATGAAGTACAGATTGACAACCAATCCACACAGATAGAGATCATGATTACTGAAGATATCGAAGACAAGAACAACGGTGGATCCAGAACACAGTAGAGCACTGTACCGCATTTCATTAGAAAGTTAGATACCGTAAAAAATATAATGATCATAGTTTCTTTTTTTTTTTTACAATGTCAATGCTACACGATGCTCTTTTAATTTAGCGAATGCATCAATAATGGAGTCTACATCCATACCAATAACATACTCTGTTTCAAATAAAATTGTTAAGAAATCGGCTAGAAATTCATCGCTCATTTTATTGCGCAAATCAGTTTTCACATGTTTTATTGTTAAAATGTTCTCTCTGTAGCAGCCATTGAAACGGGCAGCGTCAACACTAGACAAATCAATTCGACTAATCAATTTGCATTGTGTGTCCATCCCTATATCTACTAGTTGCTCTGATAAATTTTCAACGGAATAAATCTCATATTTCGTATAGTCCTTTACGCTTGAGATTTTTAGAATTTTAGGTTTTATTGTTTTCTTAAAAAAAATTAGTGCTAAAATTCATAGGCTAAATTTAGAATAATAATTTAAATATGTTCCACTAAACCATTTTTCTAGTTACACACAATCTTATTATAACATAACATCGGCTGAATTACTATATTCAAAAAATTCATAACACTATACCAGCTTCGAATTCAGAATAAGGTTGAGTCGTGCCCTGAGCATGGTAAAGGAAACCGTACCGGAAGTCATACCGGATTTGTCAGTGGTAGGGTATTTTGTGGTACTACCGTGGTTCAATCGTTGTGTACCGGCAAAATACCGTTTTTGTAATTAAATAATATTTTTTTGTTAAAAAACCGTACCGGCAGATTCAGGATATCGTTTCGGAATAATACCGGAATAAAACCGGAATATACCGGATAACAAACCTGAATAAACTAAATAGGCATATTTAATATAACAATCAACAAACTGCAACATTATTGAAAACCAAAATTTCAAACACTTTTCATCCACCAAATTTCATTCCACTCTCCTTACCTAGTTGAAAACCAAAATTTCAAACACTTTTCTTTGTAAATTATAATTTGAGAGCGTGTAAAGAGCCTTAATATTATAATATTTTAATTAAAATATATAATTTAATCTAGTAACAAATTTTTGTCAAAATACTACCACAAGCTTCGACAGATTTTTGTCAAAATACTACCACAAATTTTTGTCAATAATATTATCTCTCGTTCTCTCATCTCTTTCTATTTTCTCTCTTCCCATAGAAATTCTCTGCCGCATGGCCCTTTACTTTCCATCTCCTTCATCGTCTCTGCCAAGAGATTGAAAAATGAACTACAACGGAGGATGTTGATTGCCCGGGAACCCTCCAAACGATGATGAAAGGCGAATTCCTCTGTTGCATGTTGCATCCGACCCGAATTTCTTGATTTCATCCCCACGCTCGATCTCTCTTTCCGTTTATTTGTTTTTGCCTCTCTGGTTCAACGAAGAAAGGAAACGAAAAGCATTTTTGTAAGTTCAAACTTCAAAGGATTACTCGAAAAGCATTTTTGTAAGTTCAAACTTCAAAGGATTACTCAAAACAGGGATGAAGAACAGATGCATCATTAATTTCTAATTTTTTTTTTTTGTTCTCCTGAGCTTTGATTCTCATCTCCATACCATTTTCTCTCCACTCTTCCTCTGCTTCTGTTTTACTACTAGAATTTGCGATACCTTATTGGATTTCTCTATCTTTTTCTTTCGGTAGGCCTTTTGAGACATGCATGTTCAATTTTTTTTTTATAGATTCTAATTTGGTTAAATTTTAGGATTCTGGCCCATTTTATTTCTGCGTTTGGTCTCAATCGAAGGAGGGAAGAAGAAAAAGAGTCATCGGCTGGCGAGAACCTTGCCGTCGATGATCTGGCTAGAATCGACATCGATGGAAGTGGCATCTCGCGATGTCAAAGTTGCTTTTCCCCGGCCAATTCCATCGCAAAAGGAGTTCACCAGAAATCCGCGCTCTCAGTTCGGAAAATCCGCGCTCTTATAAAAATCAGCTCGCGAATTATAGGCGCTTTGTAAATAATCAGTAGCGCGGGATCGCGGGGGCTATTTAGGCGAATTGGGTAACATAAATCTAGTGCCCTCCGTCCCAGTAAATCTCGTGTTATTCATCCCTAAGATTGACTACTCGTGTGAATATTAGCAGCACTCGCCACTCGCCGGAGGATTCATCGCGGAAAGGGAGTCGGCGGCGTGACTGGTGAACCGGACGGTCTGATGTAAACCGGACGGCATACCGGGAAATGCCGGTTACGCCGTTAATACCGGCCGGCGCGGTAGAATAGGCGCTGGTAGGGTGCCGTTTCGTCACTGGCTTGATTCCCGGTTTTACCGGTTGAACCGGCCGGTACGATCCGGTTTCCTTTACCATGGCCCTGAGTGGCCACCCCCATTCCGAATCCGCTACCGGACAAGATCTGAAAATTTCACACTTTTGTGCACCTTTTTCACTAGGTATCCTAGAAAGCCTCCGAAAAGGTTACATGCTGAGAGAGTTTCGGCCACTAGATGGTTGTTTCTCAATTTCACTCCAAAGTTAATGTTCTTGACTCAATCTCTTGCTTGTTTTATTGGGGAAACATATGCTACGGTAAAAAAAAAATGAGAATATCAGCACTTCGTGGGCCATCATAATCCAGTTTCTTTTATATAATTACTTTTTTAAACTTTATTTGTTTGAACAAACCAGTAGTTATGCTTATGTCATATAAACTCTACTCTATTATCCATAAGACCCACTAATATCAAATGATGAAAGTACCCTCCTTAAAATTACCAAAAGTACACCAAAACTAAACGAAATTGAAGGTTTCTTTTATAAGAATCTAGATTAAATTAACTACAAGAATTTACACATAGTAGCTGTTTCACCCTAGAATGTACCCAGTGCTAATATTACGGGTTCCGATCTGGACTCCCTCGTTTGATCTCATCGGGAGTGGAAGAACCTATGAGGTGGGAGGTGGCCCCCGGGATCTACGCTCCGACGCTCAAGTTAGTACGATATAGGAGAGAGTGTGTGATATGTAGAGAGATGAAGTAGAGAGAGACCTTAGGGGAAAGTGAGTAAGAGAAGGAGATGATCATTTGGTTTGGAGGCATGAGTCTCCTTTTATAGGAGTTTTGGGCTTCCTTTCGTGGGCTTGGGCCCGATAAAATGTGTGGGGTGATGGGCTTGGGCCCGTTGATGACTTAGTTGTTTGTCGTATTAGACGGATTAATACCACACCTAACAGTAGCCCCATTTACAATCAAGCTAACAACCCAATTTGGCACTAGATTGACCTACGAAGTACACTGATCCCAACCCAGAGGGAGGTGGGCTAATGGTAGATCGGGAGACGAAAGACCAACAACAACAACCTCTTCTTCATATTTCACCCATGGTTTCACCTACCAATCTAATATGTTCACAGAAGCCTTGTTTTGTCATCTTCTTCTCCTTTCATTAGCTTTCAGATCAGAGTTTGACAATCACTTTCCTCAATCAGCAGTCTTAACTCTTAATCCTCTCTTTTCTGATTCCAAACCCTTTCCCCCCTAAGATCCCAGCGTCTGTATTGAGTTTGAAATCTAAGTGTGCACCTAAGGGTGGTTTCTTCTGTGAACTGGTAGAAAAGAACAGATTGAAGGCGTGACTAGATTACTCTCCTTAGAGTGTTATTTTTCTTCACTACAAATGGTTGGTAGACTCGAGCAAACCACCCCCAAGAGTCCTTTCAATTTTAAGTATGGAAGCAGCAATTTTGCAGACTTCTGTGGTATGAAATAGAGAAGGAAAAACAGGAAGAAGTAATTTTCTCGTTCATCAAAAAAAGTTATGGCAGTCATCTGCTTATAGTTGTGAAAACTGGAAGTTACCTTCAAAGATACACATCCTTTCACAGAAAAAGGTAGTTACCTTTCCCAAAAGGACACATAATTTTACAGAGAAAGGTAGTTACATTTCCCGAAAGGACACATCCTTTCACAGAAAAAAAGGAAGTTACATTTCCGAAAGGATACCTCTTTTCACAATATTCAAACGCTAATTAATTAATAGAAAATTAATTAATTAATTAAACTGGCAAAAGACTCAATTCTTATACTTTCCTTCTCCCATCAATGTGGTATTACAGGTTTGATTACAGGTTTCTGTCAAAAAAAAATGTGGTATTACAACTCTATTGACCAACTCTAACATCTTCCATGACTTCGAGTACTCTGGCGCGCCATGCATGTCTGGGTCCAAGTTTCGTTGGACTTCCAGTTTGAAGTAATTGTTCATCCAACAGTCCGCCTTTTGCATGAAATGGAAAAAATTGATTGAGGTTAATTTGGATTAATGGATACGATTGAAACTGAAATTGAATCGTCTTCTTCATTAGGGAGGTGAAGTGCAGTGGAGTAGGGAGAGGATAGCGTATCAGGAAGAGAGGGAGAGGGAGACGTCCCCATGCTTGACGAAGAAGTAATGATGAATCTTTTTTTCTGAACCATCGTCGGGCAAAAGTCCATTTTCCTCCTAACCGAGTTTCTGATCAACGATCCTGGTGGTAGCGGCATGATGGAGAATTTTTGGTAGTACGCGGATTTAATAATATAGTTCGCGCTCCATAAAAATAAAAAGCATTTTGCTACACCTAAGCGGGAGCGGCACCCATATACCCACGAATTGGGTGACTAAGTCTTGAGAGAGTGAAGCCAAATCCTTTTTATGAATTTTTAGTGATTTTCGCTTTTTTTCTTTGAGAAAGAATTAGGGTTGGGAAAATAGACCAGACCGTTAGAAAACCCGTGGTCCAAAACGTACCGCACAGTTTGGTACGGACCGTAGACCGTTAAGTATGATCTGGTCTGGTCCATGGTTTGTATTATTATATGTTTTGATCTCTTGGTCTGGTCTGGTCTAGACCGCGATTTACCGGACCAAACCGCGGACCCAACTGACTTGTCAATACGTGTAACAGCTCATTCGACCACTCTCCCAACTCCCACAACGACACCCAAGTTTCAACCTTAATTAGTTTTGTGAATCTCGTCCCTCCTTCATT